AGGATCGCTGGAGCCCAGCAGGTTGAGGCTGCGGTGGCCAGGAGCGGCCACTGCACTCCATTCTGGGCCACAGAGTGAGACTCCAACTAAAAACAAACAAACAAATAAATAAAATAAAAATACTTAGCCATGTGTGGTAACACACACCTGTAGTCCCAGCTACTGGGGATCCCTTGAGCCTAGGAGTCAGAAGCTACAGTGAGCCGTGATTATGCCACTGCACTTCAGTCTGGGTAACAGGCTTTTAAAAAAAAAATTTAAAAAGATGTTGAGAGTTGACAGTTTACAGGAGGATAAGCATTGAAGTTTCAGGGAGATAAGGAATGAAAAGTGATTTTGGTAACTCAGAAGTCTCTGGTAATTTTGGTAAGGGCTGTTTATTTCTTTTTAGAGATAGGTTCTCACTTTGTCTCCCTGGCTGGAGTGCAATGAAGTGATCCTAATTCACTGTAACCTCGAAATCCTAGGCTCAAATGATCCTCTCACCTCAGCCTCTCAAGTTCCTGGGACTGCATGCATGTGCCATAATGTCTGGCTAATTTTAAAAATTTTTGTGGAGATGAGGTCTTACTAGGTTGCCCAGGCTAGAGTGCAGTGGTATGATCATAACTTACTGTAACCTTGAACTGCTGGTCTCAAGAAATCCTCCTGCCTCGGCCTCCTAAAGGGGGTGCTGATGGTAAGGGCTGTTTTAATGGAATGGCAAGGGCCTGGGAGCAGAAGCCAGATTGGAGTAGGTTCAAGAGTGAATAGATGTAAACAGATAGCATAAACAACAGCCTCAGAAAGTTGGCTGAGGAGGAGAGAGAATAGGGAATAGAGTGATGTTAGAACCCATGGAACATCCTGAACCCCAACCCTGCTTTTTAAAAATGAGGTTGAGAAAGAAGATGGTCCTTGCTCAAGTGTTCAGTCAGGTGCAGAGCCAGTACCAGACACCAGGTCTGGCTGAGGTGACTGTATTTTTCACATTGGTTGCTAGCTCAAAGATGCCACTGGGGAAGGAAGTATTTAGTATTTGCCAGACTCGGCTAGCTTGTCTTCACTCTACCTTCAGCTCTCTACTGAAACAGGCACACTTCTCCCATCCACCTTGACTGCACATTGACTTCCTCCCTCGTCAGCTGCAGGTCAGGCAGCATCCACTAGGTGGCTCTCTTCCTTAGTCCTAGAATGAGCAGGACCCACAGCTGGGGCTGGTGTTGCAGGGAGGTGCAGGAGGGTACTGGAGCAGAGTACTCTACCTCATGAATAAACTCCTAATCTTGACTCCTTCCTCCCCACACCTCCTAAGAACCCTGAAATGAAATGACATGGATGGATAAAAATTAAGGTCAAGCCAGGCTTGGTGGCTCAGCTTGTAATCCCACGCCTTGGGAGGCTGAGGTGAGTGGATAGCCTGAGCCTGCGGGTTTGAGACCCGCCTGGGCAACTTGGTGAGACCTCATCTCTACAATAAATAAAAAAATTAGCTGGGCATGGTAGCATGCATCTGTAGTTCCAGCTACTTGGAAGGCTGAGACGGAAGGATTGCCGGAGCCCAGCAGGTCGAGGCAGCGGTGGCCGGGAGCGGCCACTGCACTCCAGTCTAGGTGACAGAGTGAGACTCCAACTCAAAAAAAAAAAAATTAAGGTCAAGGCTGGGCACGGTGGCTCACACCTATAATCCCAGCACTTTGGGAGGCTGAGGTTAGAGGATTGCCTGAGCCCACGGGTTCACGATCAGCCTGGACAACTTGGCGAGACCTCACTCTACAATAAATCAAAAAAATTAGCTGGGCATGATGGTGCATGCCTGTAGTTCCTAGTTCCAGCTACTTGGAAGGCTGATGCGGAAGGATCACCTGAGCCCAGCAGGTGCAGTTGAGGCTGCAGTGGCCATTAGTGTGCCTCTGTACTCCAGCCTGGGCGACAGAGACTCTAAAAAGAAAAATTAAGGTCAAAATAGCCCCACATGAACTATCACCCAGTCTGATAAAGTAGCAGCTTGAGGAATGCCACTGAGGATGGGCTGATCCCACACTCAGAGGGAGCCACTGGTGGGATGGAGTTGCCTAAAACTCCAGGCTGGCTGGAGTTGCTTTTATCATGAGTGGATGGGGTGTTCAGGCTGCTATAGGTTACTGTCCTCTCTGATTCCACCAAGATGCTATGCTGCCTGAAGATCTGTTAAATTTCCTTGTTCAGAGTAGGCCAAGGCAGACCTGGAAACTAGACGCAAATATCAATGCTCAGAGAACTGGGGGGGCGCTCCCCAGAAGACCTGGGGAAACCATAATCCTGTATTCCATGTGTCTGTCTTCATAAGACTTGTCGGTTTGATATGAAGAACCTCCTGTGTCATCCCTCAACCCTAGGATGGAAAAGGTTGGTAGGTGTATGTGGTGGGGGACTCCCTTGACACCCTAAGTTTGTGAAAAGTTAGAGGACTGTTGGGTTGGTGGTAATACAGATTAGATGCCTTATAGTCACTGCCATCTCAGATTTTGCTATCCCATTATTGATTAGCACAGCAAATAGTGTGCCAAGTACACCTAAATTCTATCTTGTCCTCCAACCCCAGCTGTAAATAAGCATTTCAGAAGCTCTAGGGAATATGAAGGTACTCTAGCCCTTTGGGGCTTTGATGTGTCTCCCACACACACACTTAGCAAGAAGCACAATACCTAGTATGCATGTGTGTGCACGTGTGTACGGGGCCCTCCCCCAAAAAATGGAATTATCTTTTGGAGGGTGGGTCCCTTGTAGTACAGGCTTCCCTGCTAGGTAAGTGTTCTAGGAACTCATTGGCATCAGTGCACTAGCTAGTACTGTGAGAGGCTGTGTTGGGCTTCAGTGTATTTTTCTTTGGAGGTTCTTCCATTGCATTTGCCCATTGCATGATGGGTGCACCTGTCCATACCATGCTAAGTGTTCAGCAGTTTTTGACCAAAAATGGCATGGACCCCATGCCCCACCCTCCCTATTCACCCAACCCCCTCCACCCCGACTTTTTTTGTTTCCCCTGATGAAAAAAGTCCTCAAAGGGAAACATTTAGCTATGTGGAAGAGGTAAAACAAAAGAAGCACTAAAAGGCATCAAAATTGACGACTTCAAAAAAACTTTTTAAGCAGTGGAAAAAGCATCTTGATAGGTATATTGCATCAAACGGAGAATCGTCTAAAGGTGACTGAAGTTTAAACATGTAGGAATAAATACACAATTTTTAATAAATAAATGATGGGGTTTTTTGGGTCCCTCTCGTCTATAGACACATAAACATAGGCATACATACATATGTATATACATACATATGTATGTATACAAGCACTTAGTAAATAGTAGATACTCCAATAAATGTGAACTGCTGAGTGAAGGAGAAGGCATCTGTATGGATTTTGTGCTGTAGAGTTTTTGGTATAGTACTTGGCTCGCCCCCAATTCTGAGAACTCCACAGAGGGCAGAGCTAGGAATTCCCATGATAGGAAGGAGGCAGAGCTAGGAATTCCCTCTCGCTTATGTCACTTCAGCTATCTTCTAGAATGCTGTTACAGCAGCTCAAACCCTTGTGAAACACGGACTACATCAGTCAGAAGTGATGCAGTGCACAATTAATAAAGATCATGGTAGGTGGCTGTGTGCTCATGAGAGAACAAGTGTGAGTTACCATTGCGGCTGATGCTAACCCAAGAAGTGCCCCAAACCCAAGCCAAGGCCAACACCAGTTGCCTGAGAGAGAGGACCAAAGCCAAATAATAGGTGTAGGACAGTGGATGTCAACATGTGTCCTGTGAGGACAGCTGTACTGATGCTTTAATGAAAGACCAAATAACAAAAGCCAGGGATGGCAGAACTTTCCTGGGAAGAACTGGTGACCCCTTGAGAATATGACATTGCTGAGAGTTCCCTGTGTCCCCTCCTGAAAGGTGATGATGGAATAAACTTGGATATGGCTGAAATGAATGTAAGAAATTTGTCAATAAATATTTAAACTGGAAATACACCAGTTTGTTGATAATAAGACCCCTCATGTTTTACCGGTTTGAGCAGGCTTGTGTCCCCAGACAGAGGAGACAGGATTCTGCCTACTTGCTGGTACTCTGCAGCAGCCTGTGTTTTCTTTTCACTAGTTTCCTCCTCTCTTCAGGTAAAAACAGGAGAATAAAACTATTGGCTGAAAGACTGGCTACTCTGTTTTCTTCCAGCTGACTTTCCTGCTGTATGTAGCCTGGTTTCTTTTGAAGATGATCAACTATCCTGAGAGGCCCTTGGTTCCTTTCAGACTTGCTGCTTAAAAAACAAAAAACAAAACTCCCACTCTCCCTCATCCCCAGAAGACAATAACAACAAATCTGTAAGCATACTTAGACTTTTGGTAGAATACTGTGGTTTCTCCCCAGGATTCACACTGGCCCTGCTGTCTTAGTGAGTGGAGTGCTGTGCCCTGGGGGCTCACCTTGAACGATATGGATGCTTCTAAAGGAGTAGTCAAGAGGGGGCTCCTGCACCGAAGTGTTCGTGTAGTCCAGTTTGCTCATAGTTCAGGCCATCATTTATCAGGTGCAAGCATGTGCCCTAGGAGTCTTGGTTCAGCCTGGGAGGACAGAGAAGGAGGGGCATTTTCAGGCACAGCAGCCCTCAGGTTTCCCCGTAGTCCTCCACCCAGTCTTCTCTGCCCTTCACTACCTCAGGCCTGCCTAACCACATTCTATTTTAAAATATTAACCACTATTCCTTGCATGTTTAGGGCACTTCCTACTCCTCAGAGCACCTTCACATCTCTTGTAACTCATTTGATAGTTACAACACCCATTTCTTCATCTGGAAAATACCAGATGAAGAAACTGAGACCCAAGGAATAAAAGGACTTGCCCAGAGTTAAGCCAGTGAGTCAGCTGTGGATTGCAATCATAGTCTCCTGAGGAGACTCTGAGGTTCTTTCTACTACTACACAGTAGTTACCATGGGGATTGTCTTGGCACTTTTGGTGACATAAACTCTATTGCTTAACAAACCTTTGAGGGGCCTGTATTGCATGTGGTGGTGTCTGACTGCCCTTCTCAGTCTCACCCAGCTGGGGATTTGCTGCCATCTCTGCTCAGCTTGTCCATCACCTTTCCATCCACGACCCTACTGTCAGCCACATTCTGAATGTAGTCACACACATAAACACAAATACCCATAAAACCAGAGTCTACCTCTCACTCACCTGTTACTGATGCCTGAAATTCCACCATTAGGGATTCATTCCTTTGGCTTCAGGGATTGTTCCCTGTTAAAATGGAAATACCCCCTGAGAGGGGTGAACACAATGTTATCAGTCACTTGACATGTGATGTGAGTTGTCTTATCAGACAGAGCCTTTCCAATTTGTTAGCAAAAGTAAAGTTGAGGACCAGTTTTTCTGGAGACTGGGAAGAGCCATGAGAATACTACTTACCTAGGATGAAGTAAGCTGACAATACATTTTACCAGGGGGTTTGTATGTGAATCATACAAAAGACAAATAGACTGACAAGGATAAGGACTTGTCCTGGTCAAACTTTATTTTATTTTATTTTATTTTGAGTTCGAGTCTCACTCTGTCATCCAGACTGGAGTGCAGGGGCCGCTCCCGGCCACCGCAGCCTCGACCTGCTGGGCTCCGGCGATCCTTCCGCCTCAGCCTTCCAAGTAGCCAGAATTACAGGCATGCGCTACCACGCCCAGCTGATTTTTTTGATTTATTGTAGAGATGAGGTCTTGCTGCCCAGGCGGGTCTTGAACCCGCGGGCTCAGGTAATCCACTCACCTCAGCCTCCCAAAGGTGCGGGATTACAGGCTGAGCCACCGAGCCCGGCTGTTTTGTTTTGTTTTTTTAAGTGAGAAAGCAGGATTTATTGAGAGGACAGAAAAGTTCCCACAGTGGGAGGGAACCCAAAGGGGTGTCCCCCCTCCGCCTTTTTTTTGAGTTGGAGTCTCTGTCGCCTAGGCTGGAGTGCAGGGGCACACTCATGGCCACCACAGCCTTGACCTGCTGGGCTCAGGCAATCCTTCCGCCTCAGCCTTCCTAGTAGCTGGAATTACAGACGCGCACCACTACTCCTGGCTGATTTTTTAATTTATTGTAGAGATGAGGTTTTGCCAAGTTGCTCAGGCTGGTCTCGAACCCCTGGGCTCAGGCAATCCTCTCGCCTCTGCCTTGCTAAGTGCTGGGATTACATACAGGTGTGAGCCACCGCACCGAACCTCTTTCTCACTCCATCCACTGCTATCACCTCCTTTGCATTACTACTTCCCCAGCTTTCCAAAAGGATTTGAGGCTTACAATAACAACACACCCATAAAATAGGATGATCTATAGAAAAGTGCTGTCCAAGAGAAATACACTGTCACAAATGCAAGCTACATATATAATTTTTTCACATATGTAATTAAAAATTTTCCAGTAGCCAAAATAAGAAAAGTAAAATGAAACAGTTAATTTTAATAATATTTAATGTAACCCAATATATCCGAAATATTCAACATGTAAGCAATATTAAAAATTATTGAGATATTTTGCACTTACAGAATGTCCCAATTTGGACTAGGTACTTATCAAGTAGTCTATTCAATTCTCACACGTGACTAGTGGCTACTGTACTGGATAGTGCAGATGTAGAAAGTTAAAAAAGGAAGGGAAAGGTCAGAAACTAGATTATAGGAAGAGACAGAGAGGGAGAGTGTCTACCAGGGACTTTAGGAATCTAACCCTATATTTGGCTGTGAAATTCCTGGCAGTCAAAGCCAAAAAGGAAACTTTGGGATATACAGTTCTCATCATTGGATTCAAAGAATAAGTTTGTATGCAGAGACAATGAAATTGGTAAATATTTTTTCTTTTTCTTTTTTTTTTTGAGTAGATGTCTCACTCTGTTGCCCAGGCTGGAGTGCAGTGGCATGCTCATGGCCACCATAGCCTCCACCTGCTGGGCTCAGGTGATCCACCTCAGTCTTCCAAGTAACTAGAACCATAGGTGTATACTACCATGCCCAGCTAATTTTTTGATGTACTGTAGAGATGAAGTCTTGAACCCTTGGGCTTAGGCAATCCTCACACTTCCACCTCCCAAAGTGCTGGGATTACAAGCATTATAGCAATAAATATATATATTTTTTTGAGTTGGAGTCTCACTCTGTCACCCCGGCTGAAATGCAGTGACACACGCACGGCCATCACAGCCTCGACCTGCTGGGCTCAGGTGATCCACCTCAGCCTTCCAAGTAGCTGGAACCACAGGTGTGTGCCACCACACCTGGCTAATTTTTTGATTTATTGTAGAGAAGAAGTCTCTTGCCAAGTTGCCCAAGCTGGTCTTGAACCCTTGAGCTTAGGCAATCCTCTTGTCCCCGCCTCCCAAAGTGCTGGGATTACAATCATGAGCCACCGAGCCCAGCTAAATATTCTTAAAATGGAATTTCTGTTAATAACCAAGGATCTGATGCTTGCAGTTCAGTTTGATTGATTAATGCAGTTCAAAACTCCTTTTTTTGATGATTTAATATATGCCAGGATAGAGTTTAACAGGTCTAGAGGAATGGAAAATGAATGGGAGAGGCAGAGGATCGCTTGGGGCCAGCAGTTTGAGACCAGCCTTGAGAACATAGCGATACCCTATCTCAACCCTTTACCCCCACCAATTTTAGCTGGGTATGGTGGTACTTGCCTTTAGTTCTAGCTAGTCAGCGGGGTGAGGCAGGAGGATCATTTGAGCCCAGTAGTTTGAGGCTACAGTGAACTATGACCATACCACTGCACTCCACCCTGAGCAACAGAAGTGAGACCTTGTCTCTTTTTTTTATTATTATTTTTAAATTTTTAATTTTTTAATTTTTTTTGAGTTGGAGTCTCACTCTGTCACCCAGACTGGAGTGCAGTGGCCGCTCCCGGCCACCGCAGCCTCTACCTGCTGGGCTCCAGTGATCCTTCCGCCTTAGCCTTCCAAGTAGCTGGAACTACAGGTGTGTGCTACCACGCCCGGCTAGTTTTTGATTTATTGTAGAGATGAGATCTCGCCAAGTTGCCCAGGCGGGTCTCGAACGCGCGGGCTCAGGCAATCCACTCACCTCGGCCTCCAAAAGTGCGGGATTACAGGTTAAGCCACCAAGCCCGGCTGACCTTGTCTCTTTTAAAACAAAAAAATGTGTGCCATATGTGGTGGCTCACGCCTGTAATCCTAGCACTTTGGGAGGCAGAGGTGAGAGGCTTGGTTTGAGACCAGCCTGGGCAACTTGGCAATACCTCATCTCTACAATAAATAATAAAAATTAGCCAGGTGTGGTAGCATGTGCCTGTGGTTCCAGCTGCTTGGAAGGTTGAGACAGAAGGATCACCTGAGCCCAGCAGGTCGAGGCTGTGGTGGCTATGAGTGTGCCACTGCACTCCAGCCTGGGTGACAAAGTGAGACTCCAACTCAAAAAAAGAAATAACAGTTTTGGGGAAGTGCCAGGCTTGAGTTACTTCACAGCTAGTTTCTCTGTGTGGGTTGTCAATTAGAATCTTTTAGATATCAAATTAGAATTTTTTTAGCTATCAAATCTACAGGCAGACAATGAAGAACACATTGCTCTTTTGTAGAAATAGAAAAACCAGTCAGGCTCGGTGGCTCAACCTGTAATCCCACGCCTTTGGGAGGCTGAGGTTAGTGGATTGCTTGAGCCCGCGGATTCGAGACCCGCCTGGGCAACTTGGCAAGACCTCATCTCTACAATAAATAAAAAAATTAGCCGAGCGTGGTAGCGCGCGCCTGTAATTCCAGCTACTTGGACGGCTGAGGCAGAAGGATCGCCGGAGCCCAGCAGGTCGAGGCTGCGGTGGCCAGGAGCAGCCACTGCACTCCAGTCTGGGTGACAGAGTGAGATTCCAACTCAAAAAAAAAAAAAAAAGAAGAAGAAATAGAAGAACCTGGTTTGTGTTTTGCAGAAACAAAAGAACCTAGCTTAGAATTCTGCCCATCCCATTTCGGCACCTACAACAGGTTTGATGCCTTTGAGCAAGACTAGACTCTTTTCTCAAAGTAAATCCTGGGTTGGGACCCCAGAATTCTGTACCAGTGAACGTAGATTTCAGTCTGATACTTTTTTTTTTTTTTTGAGTCAGAGTCTCACTGTCGCTCAGGTTGGAGTCCAGTGGCATGCACATGGCCACTGCAGCCTTGATCTGCTGGGATCAGGTGATCCTTCTGCTTCAGCCTTCCAAGTAACTGGAACCACAGGCATGTGCTACGAGACCCGGCTGGTTTTTATTTTATTTTATTTTATTTATTATAGAGTCAAGGTCTTGCCATGTGGCTCAGGCTGGCCTCAAACCCCTGAGCTCAGGTAATCCTCTCGCCTCCACCTCCCAAAGTGCTGGGATCACAGGTGTGAGCTACCACACCCAGCTAGTCTACAATACTTAAAGACAGATTTTTACTGTTGGTCTCCTTGATCATCAGAGAACTCCAGTGTAGTTCCTAAAACTTCTAATTTTGTGGAGTACCGGCTCCTGATGCATTTTCTTTTTTTTTTTTTTTTGAGTTGGAGTCTCACTCTGTCGCCCAGACTGGAGTGCAGTGGCTGCTCCCGGCCACCGCAGCCTCGACCTGCTGGGCTCCGGTGATCCTTCCGCCTCAGCCTTCCAAGTAGCTGGAACTACAGGCGCGCGCCACCACGCCCGGCTCATTTTGATTTATTGTAGAGATGAGATCTCGCCAAGTTGCCCAGGTGGGTCTCGAACCCACGGGCTCAGGCAATTCACTCACTTCAGCCTCCCAAAGGCGCGGGATTACAGGCTGAGCCACCGAGCCCGGCTAATGCATTTTCTAAATGAGTTATCAGTATTAAAAATGGAGTCCCAAGAAGCTGCATAAATTTGCTGATTAGAATTATTATCCTTCTCCATTTAAAGAGTAGCCCAGGCTGTGAGCTAGTATCGTGTCTTATTCATTAGCCAACACAGAACCCGGTTTACAAACAGGCACTCAAAAAATGTTTGTGGGATGAATGAATGAGAAACTGCCAAATCTGAGGATTTCTATTCTGGGAGAGTTGATGCTTAGCTGTTCTGAAAGTTGGCTCTCAGGTTCAGCTGTTTCAATCCACACCTCTTTCACAGAAAGATAATTCAATTCAATTCTACCAACATTTGTTGAGTGTCTGCTGCCCTGTGCCTGACCAGAAGGAGCCAAGCCAAGACACAAATAATAGAACACTGTCATGAGCACAGAGAGACCTGCTGAGTTTCTATTGTTATGGCAAACCGGCCTGCATCCACTTCCAAATAACAGCTGC